AATGATCCAGAAAATGAAGGAATGACAAGGTCTATAAATATTGTCTGGGAAAGTGAAGACCTCATTGGCAACAGTGACAGCGACGAAACTCTCGATTATGAGAGCGAATAATTATATGTATATAACATTTAAAAAAATAAATAAATAATTTAACTTCTACTAACAAATCAGTTTATATATCATACGATTATTTTTCTATTTCTTAAGTGTATCATATCATTAACTTGAATTTTATTKRCATATAAACATGTACTAGTACATAAGATRATTGTGAATGAGCGATAATATCACGTCAAGTATATACAGTATACCGGGCGCAACAAGTTTGAGAAATTGATGACACATCTATTCGTACAATCTGTTCAGATCTTTTCAAAAAGACCTTTTCTGTGGGTTAAAGGTCTTGTTTTCTAAGATAAGCTTTCGCTAGAAGCAAAACACGGCATTAAAAGTTGAAAAACATTGCATATTTTGGCACTACACGGGCTTACCCGAGGCTAACGCCTCGATACTGGGAGTTCTAAGAAGCATGGAAAAAAAATGTCCATGTTAGCCCACAGAACAATTTTTCAACTTCAATCTGCGACCCCTCTAGTAAATGTAGGTCTTCTAGTTTATGCGAACTCGCTGCGCCCGATCTCCTTCTCGATTCAACCAAGTTTATCTCTTCTACAAAATTTGATCGGCTTTAATATTAAACTATTTACCATATATGGTAAATAGTTTAATATTAACTCGCAACAATCTTCGCGCATGACATCTTACATACATTGCTAATTCGGGCATTTGAAACAGCCGTGGCAAGGCCAATATACTTAAATGAAATGTAAGAAAGTGCTAAAAGGTTTTCCAGGCCACCAATTATTGTGTATTTTTATAACACTGTCACGCAAATCAGACACAGACTACCTTGCACAACCCACAATTACACCGAATTTATAGGAACAAAGCCACACGATCTTGTTTTGGAAGTATAGTGATAAATTTAAATTTATAAATGATAAATTTGGAAAAAAAATTGGAACCCACGACTTCATACCCACGACCCACGACTTCATACCCACGACCCACGACCCACGACCATTAGGCAAACTCATCCGCTCTTTCCAGGATGCTATTTTTAGACCGCACATTTTTTAAGTTTGGGGATTTTTTGGGGGGATCAATGAGAATAAGCTTTAATGAGCAACCACTCTTAAAGGAGAAATCCTTGTACGCTTAGTCCCATGGAGCCGCAGTCACGCTGAGGGTTATCGAGGTTGTCCACACTTTTAAAAGGGAGAAATCTTCTTCTCCTAAAAGAGACTGACTTAGATAGTCCAACAGAAATTAATGTTTTGAAAACTGCACGAAATTGGGATCTATCTCAAGTCTGCAAAAAGTCAAGCACTAGATAGCGTGACCGTCAGTCAATGTAAGCCTCCAGACTTTTATCTAGACAATGACTGTCAAAGTCGCCTAAAATATCCCGTCTTCCGGTACCATCCGGAACAACCTTTTCGTGCAGTAGGATTATTTTAAAGCATGCAATCCCGTAATAAATACGTGAACTTTTGCCAGTATTGATCTCATAATGTATGAGAGATAAATGTGTTGTAACCACGAGCACACAAAGTGTAAAATAACAACTACTATTTGTTTCATCACTGAAGCACATGGTTGTCGGCCATTATGCTCATTTACATATCTTTCTCTACGATCCCGTATATTCGGAGTGTGACGTATGCTTACAATGAGATATAACAAATGACAAAGACGTATGGCGGCCATGTTCAGCATAACAAAGATCAGAAGATGATGATTACGAAAAATATTTTGTTAAATAACAACAACATGACCGCGTTAACGTAATGTGCAATCGAAGAGCGAAGAATCGAAAAGCGCTTTCCTCGTTTCAACTTCAGACGCGCCACTAGCCATCACGTGATTTACATTGTGTCACCAAAAGTGTTTGGACATTGTCATCGGATTGTAGTCGTGACGAATGCACTGTCTTTTGAAGAAATTTAAACTGTATTCGATTGTTTGGCTCTGGCTAAATATAAGCAAAATCTCATTTTTAATTGCCCTATTTCACTATGACGTCACTGCTTGTTTATGTGGGGGGATAGAATCGCCAAATTTACTCCTAGCGAAACAGTTTAATCATGATCCCTTGCGTTTAAACAATAGATTGTTTTGATGTGACGTCATAGTGAAATAGGGCAATTCTGCAGATTGAAAATAAAATTGGTATTTTTGGGAGAAACAAATCAAGTAAACATTTTGGTGACCATTACACATAGTAAACATCTGGTCCCAAGTTCTGTCCAAGATATCTTCAAGAGAGTAAAGCAATCTAACAGATATAACTTAAGAAACAATGACTTTGACATTCATCGGTTTAGAACTGACACTTTGGCAGGAATAGCCTGAGATATTTCGGGCCTCATTTATGGTCTAACCTTGATCCAAATATAAGATCAAAGCCAACTTTAACTAGTTTCAAAACCACTATTAAGGATACAAATATTGAAGTTATTTGAAATAACATGGCAAGAATTGCAATATTTGCAACACTTAATATGTAGACTGAGAATGTTTACAGTTGTTATTACCCTTTTTTTTTCCTCCCTGAGAACACAGGTGTCCTTGCTCCCATCCCCTCTGAAGGATGAAAGCTGTGCGATATAACCCTGTGTGCCATGTATTAGACAAACAGAGCATTTGATGCTTGCAAAACATAAAGGAACGCGGGTTCTATATGATGATAATGTAATTTAAACGTTTCTTAGTATTTTCTATGTTTTATTGCAGGTGTTTGCACCGTGTTTCTCATCCTCGCTGCTCAGAATATTTCCAAACTCCTCACAACACACATCCACGATGTATGGTTTGACCAACATTCGTTGCGCGTGTGGATTTTAATATGCGCCGCTGTCCTGCTTCCAGTTTCCTGGCTTGGAACTCCAAAAGAATTCTGGGGAATTGCTATTGGCGCCAGCCTAGCAACAGCACTGGCTTGTCTCTTGATATGTGTCTGTATTGGAATTGACTTTCCGAGTAACCTACAGACAGTCAAACAGGGGCCTGTTACATTTCTGTCGTTTTTCTCAGGTCAGTCAAACTATACACATGTTGAGCTGATCTGAAATGGAGATGTAAATTGATCATGTGACTGCAAAACTGGGGTGTAACAGTGGCGGATCCAGGGGAGGGGTGCAGGGGGTGCGCACCCCTCCCTGGTTCGACTTTGTGCCCCTAAACTTCGAAGATAACCAATACAAAATAATGTTTATTCCCTTTGATTCTAATGGGTGCACCCCTCACTGGGTTAACTTTGTGCGCAGCACCCCTCCCTGAACAAATACCTGGATCCGCCCCTGGTGTCATGAAGCCTGCGAAAAGTAACCAGCAAAGAATAAAAACATGGCCACCATTGAAATATAAAAGTATTGATCTCTCTTATGAGTTGAACCCATTTTTTTCGAGCCCTCATAACTTATGCCAAAAAAAGAAAGAAAACGTTTTATAGTTCTTATATATATCTTTTTAAAACAAGCTAAGGAAAACTACTGGTTTGTTTTTATTTGTTTGTTTCCTTCTCTATTAATGTTTTGTTTATTTGTTTGTTTTCGTTTTTTACTTTTGGTTTCCTTGATAGTGCTCTCTTTTAGTTTCTTTTGTAATCAAAGATTCTTCATACATGTTACTCTTACTTCATTCCGATTTTAAATTGCAATTAATTTTGATTCTCTCTATCGTTAGCCTTTGGGACCATCTTATTCTCGTTTGGTGGAGCTTCAACATTTCCAACCATCCAAACAGACATGAAGCAGCCTTCAAAGTTTCCCATGTCAGTAGTTTGGTCGTATGTGGGTGTTCTGTTTATGTATTTACCAGTATCCATACTAGGTTAGTGTCATTTAAGTACTGTTTAATAACCTCGCAGGAGTGTTTTTAGACCTGATAAAACACGATGTATGTTCTCATACTGTACCGAATTCTTTACGAAATGAACCAAGTTTGATAGAGAAAATCCAAGTCAAAGTTTATGCAAATGAAGATGAATCTATATCATATGTAAAACCTCCTTCATGGTCATGATTTCTATTGTGTTTCCTTCATGAATTATTAATGAGTTTTTTTATATATAAATTACTATCTTGCACACAACCACAAAACAACAAACCACACAGGCCACGTGCAATCTCGTACCTAGCGGCTGCTCGGTATTGGGACGACTAGCGTTAGTATAACATTACACTCTATTAGAGGCTATTGTCTACATCATTATGCTAATATATCACTCATCATATATACATACTCAATTGTTGATAATCAATCGTTACGTTTAAGTCATAAAACCGTATAAGGTGGAAATCCCTTCTGGGAAGATATATGCATTGCATGAGATACGTGCGTCGTGTTATATATGTGCATTGTATTATAGATGTGCATGTATTTGATATGTGCATTGCATAAGATATGTGCATTGCATAAGATATTTGCATTGTATTAGATATGTGCATTGAATTACATATGTGCATTGCATTACATATTTGCATTGCATCAGATATATGCATTGTATTAGATATGTGCATTGCATTACATATGCGCATTGCATTACATATGTGCATTGCAAATCCCTTGAGATATGAATGACAATGAAATTAATGCGGCCGCGATTTCGGTTGTTATCTTTAACCAACATGGCGGCTATGACGTAACATGCACTCCAATAATTTAAGCCTCGAAGAGAGGGCGTGCTTGTAATTTGGTAAATAACACAGGCTGTGTTTTTGGGGGCCGAAAAAAATGACTTGTTGTTCTGTTATATGCGTTTTCCCAGGTTTCCTAGCATACGGTGGTGATATCAAGGACAATATTCTACTGTCTGTCAGTCACACGTCTAGTCATCCCAGGGCCATCATCGTCGACATCGTGCTAGTTCTCATCACCACCCATCTTCTCTTCAGCTTTGTGATTGTTCTCAATCCAGTATCGCAGTATTTTGAAGAATTCTTCAACATACCGAGAAGTAAGTCAAATCTTGTACTTTACAAGGAGGTTAGAGCACTCAAGGTTGCATTTAAAAACTCATGATTACGAGAACTACGCAGGACCAGACGTCTAGATGTTGGCTCTCGTGATTAAAATGATACTTTTTCATACCGATGCAACCCTTAAGGCCATATTATCTTAGCTTTAATTTGTCTGAGTCGTAATAGGCCCTTTGTATCAGTAAACAGTCACGTGCTGATATATCACTTTGATAACGAATCAATTCAGCCCCAAGGCTCCCTGGGAAGGCTTAGCTGCTGGTGGTTGATGAACAAGGATGAAAATACATTGTATATGAAATTAATTGAGCTGATCCTCGCAGTAGAGTGACCACAGTAAACCCGTGAAACAAATACTAACTTTTAGTACTAAATGGTGATAAATAAACAATAGAAAACAAAGGATTCTGAATGAAATAGTACTAATTAGTACTAATTAATGTTCACGGATTTAGTGCGTGCACTCTATAAAAAGCAACTTGTATGCAGCTGCAAATTGAAATTGAATTTTTTCTGAGTCTTTCAATTTGCAGCTGCATAAGTTGCTTGATATACTGCGAGGATCAGCTCAATTTGATACATTACAACCGCAGTACAAATATATATTTCATATATTTTCTCATACACAAATACATGGTATCTTGAGATCGAAAGCATGTCACAAGGGGGATATAACATTTTAAGAACATTTTTGGTCATGCATGTCTCCAGGAAAAGTTTGTCAATTTATAAAGTGAGATTAATGTTTCTGCCAGCCAGTAACAGTCATGTGGTGATGTCCTGCTAATTATTGAAGAAATAGAAAACGCGCGCGCGTGCTGTGTGCTGTCATAAAGCACGCGGGGGTCGGCAGAACACGAGAGAAGTGTTATGAGAAGCACGACGCGTAGCGGAGTGCTTCTCGACACCTCTCGAGTGTTCTGCCAATCCCCAAGTGCTTTATGACTGCACACAGCACTGCAAACAAGTTTTTTATTTCTTTTATAAAATACAAATTACAATAATAGATAGGAATGAAGCAACGGAAAGTGCGCGCGCGTGCAATGTGCTCTCATAAAGCACGCGCTCCAAACCAATCAGAGCGCGACATTCATAACAGTCACCTTATAATAAAGTTTCTTCAGATGAGCTTGCCCTCTAACAATGTTTTAGTTTTCATGCGGCAAAGGAATGGAACAATCTAGATAATTCTGTAAGAAATGCGCCCCAAGTTTAAAAGAATTTAGAAAATTACTCTGATTAGATTACATATACATATACATAGAATATTCAATATATTTGTTATATTACTTCTAACTTTTTTTAACTTTTTAACCTATTTCCATACTTATTTCATACTTTATTTATTTAGTTTTATTATGTAAGGGCATCTTTGAAAATCACTTTTGTGAAAGGGCTTTCCTCAATAAAGATTGTTATCACACCCTCAAAGATATTTTTCTTAGTTAAAAAAACTTAACAAATTATTAAAATATATTTTTGATTATTAATTAATTAATTAATTAATTTAAAAAAATTTTCTCTTCAAGGGTTTGGGTTTAAGAGATGTCTTCTACGCACAATCATAATGGCATTGGTACTGGGCATAGCCGAACTCATTCCTAACTTCGGCCCCATTCTCTCGTTGATCGGTGGCTCTACAGTCACTCTCCTCACCTTCGTCTTCCCATGCTGGTTCTATCTCAAGATCGCAAAGGACTTGCCTCTCCATACAAAGGCTGTTTTATTTGAGCTTATCTTTATCGGCATCGTTGGAGGTGTGGCGTCGACTTATTCAGCCATAGATAGTATTCAGAAAGCCTTCAAACTTTAGATAGGAGATTTTAAAGGTGGACAAGAAAGACGTACCCCGTACGACGTACGTGTTTTATGACTAAAGACTCGTTTGTACAAGTTTAGCCTCGTGTAGGAGCAAATTATATGAAAAAGTCATGAAAAATGCCAATGTTTTGAAATTCCACTAATTTTAATGGTATCTGTGAATAGCTGACTTATAAACGAGGCTAAGCTAGTGTAAACGAGTCTGTGGTATTTGAAAACAGCGGTATGCAATGAATACGAAACTAATGTATTAAAAAAGCAATATATTGGTGGCGTGCTTCCTGGCGCTTCTCATGAGAATAAAAAGACAAAAGACGTGGCCGCCATGTCGGTTGACATGACAGAACACACCAAGACTGAATATTTGCCAAAGTCAACCAAAATGGCGGCTCGTGACGTCTCATACAAAGACGTATTCTCTACTTTCACATCCCCATAATACCTTGCGTTTTTGGGGGGTAACCAATCAAAAAACTGTCCCAAATTGAAAGGTTTTTTAATTGAATTTATACTATACCTGCTTTTATCTGTACAACTGACTGATTATCAGTTTATTCCAAGTTATTTTCGCGTGTACAGATATATCATTAAGAGTTTTGGTCTTAATTACAGTAAATGTGTCGACTTACGAAAAATGTTTAAAATTTACCTTAAACGTTTTCAAGCTTCTATCTTTTTCTGTTTTTTACTTCTTCATTTTATTTTTGGATACCAAACAAGGTATTGTTAACATTGTCTGATCAGCCTTCAGCAAAATAAGTGGGTTTTTACCCTCTGGTTACCCCCCAAAGACGCAAAGTATTATGGGGATGTGAAAGTAGAGAATAGACGTGTTGTACTTTTATTTCCATGGGTTCAAGAGATTCTGGTTCGTTCACTTTGGATTTATTTGTCCCTTGAAAATAGCAATCGCCAGAGCGAAAATCAGTAACCTCAGTCTGGACCCAAGGGTATTCTGATGTAACATCAGATAATAATATTCTCATGAAAGATTGTTATTTTGTATGATATCTTGGATATTAAATTTGTTTTATCCAAACAGCTCTCCAAACAAGCTTTATTTACCCAGTTGACAAAAAAAAAAAAAGTTTATGTATAATAGATTGAAACATCGAAAACTATGAATCTTGATAATGATATTCAATAACATTTCATCATTCGGATTCTGCTTTTTGATTGTCCGACCAGAGTTAATTCCCCTCTATTAACTCTGGTCCAACATAGCATAAAGTACCTCTTTCGTAAGAATTTAGATTTATCGGTTACTTGTTTGGAAGACCAATCTATTGTCATTCTTAACTCTATGTGTATTGTTTTTTTTAACTAGTTATGAAACTTAAGCATGTTGCAAACGGTGAAGAATGTCCCTAATAATTTAGAAAAGAACCGGTGATTACAAGGGGAAGCTTTATTTTTACTTCAAATATGCAATTGAAATATTCGTTTATAGGAAATCTTTTTTATATTCGTAATTCGTAGCACATATACTTGATGAAAACTAACTGAATTTGAAAAATTCAAGTTTAATATATATCTAATAAAGGTAAATTGATGTTTGCTTTTGACATTTTGTCGGTTTGAAGATGTTTGATTCAAAAGCAGCTTACTAATATCAATATTTATGCTACTAGATACATCATTTCTACCAGATATATCTATTTCTACCAAATATGTCACTGAAAACAATTAAATCCTAATTCCAAAGACCAACACAGCGGGCTCGATTGGACAGTTTTCAGTTTTATTCTGGTTATGAGCGATACTTATATATTTTGTTTGTTTTATTTTTTGGTTTATTGTTAAGATTATCCAATGAAATACTTGGCAAAATAAAAACTTTATCGGATCAATTTGCAGTTATTGAGTTCTGACCGCTCGATCGTTATATCCGCTGATATTGGTAAATAAGAGCATCTACAATTGTCATACGTCTCACTCGAACACGCAAAAATTCCCCCTTTCAAGGTGAGTATAGGATTTGCCTTCCATAACTTATTAGAGAAGGCCCGAATCAAATGTGTGAAAACTTTGTAATTGCTTTATCGATGACAAAATCTTTAGCTATCATCTACGTTACTGATGAAAATAACTTGCTCTGAATCGGCAAGAATTTGGCAAAATCTTGCTTGAGATACTGAATGCATCAGTTCTGGGAACAGAAAGTTTGTCTAAAACCTCCTCGCCGCCGCTATGCGGGTTTGGAAAATTTCAAGATTTCTTTTGCGGGTTTTTAGTTTTTATTTTGTTGTTGCTGTTTTGTTTGCTTTCTCTCGGTCTGAGTTCCGTGTCCTGGTTTTCTAAACTCCTCTAGAATCAAACATTGCATTGCATTTACGTTAGATTTAAGGACCGGAGCATTGGTTTTTGTTAGCTGCATATTGATCGACTCGGCATCATTTTTTTTTCTAGTTCTTTTTCTAGTTCTTTTGCGATTCTGATCTTCCAACGATTTAACAGACCAAAAACTATGAAAAAATTAAATTTGCATCTTAGTTTACGATACAAGTGAAAAAGATTACTTGGCTCTCAAAAATCTAGAAAAAGGCACTGATAAACTAAAGATATTAATATGTAACTACGGCCTACTTAAAAATAAGTTTTCGTGAAGCTTCCTTGCCAAGAAGTTCAGATCGCAAGCCTAGCAATTACGTACACAGTTGGCAGTTCGTCGTTAAAGTTTTCTCCGCAAATGTTAATCGGCGCAATCCTACGTAAAGAGAAAAATGGCCAAAAAAGATGAGATGTCAATATCTGTTTTTTATTGAGGTAATAAACGGCAAACCAGGAATCGAGGCCACTATGTAAAAAGAAAGCTAGACATGGAGAGGGAAAAAAGCATTCAAAGAGAAAAAGATTTCAAGCCTATAGGAAAAAAACTGCATGCTTTATGTAGCAATTTAATTACTGAGCAACTGGGTGGACCCGCTTTGATCATTAGTCTAAAGCCTCTAATTCGAAGACCACTGTTGAGAAGAAATCATCTTATTAGCTTTCATATCATCAGAAGGTTGAAAAATCCAAAGTTTAATTTTTGATTATTACTTCTAGCTAAATGTTACAGTGATATGTAGCCATGGGGAACCGGCTTTGTTTTATTACACCCAGTGAGAGGATTGTTAGCTTCTATCACGAGCATAAAAAACCATGCCAAAGTTAAATTGTTCATTGTTACATCTGGGGTGGCTATGACTGTTACAGTGCTACGCAGCTTTTGGGAACCGGCTTTGTTTCCGTTAAAATCCAGTGAGAGTTAATTGGTGGAACGTATTGCATATATAGAGGATGTTACATGGCCGCGCGGAGATACGGATTTTATCTTCGAGTGAGGTGATATCTTACGAATGAGCGCAGTGAACGAGTAAGATGTTCTCGACACGAAAAGATAAAGCCCTTATCTTCAATCGGCCATGTAATAGTATAATTATAATTATAATAATATAATTATCAATGAAATACAGTTTTTTGTGGAATTTTATTATTTAATGTCATTCCTAAGAAATTTTTGTACAATCATGAAGTTATATTCACGTGTGTGACGGGCATCATGGTATCTTCACATGTTTTATGTTAAAAGATATCGCTTTCTAGTAATAGAGAAAAATAGTATTTCATCTATGATTTAGTATATCAAGGCAGATTATTCAACGCTTAGAAAAAAGCTGAATTGGACGCTATAGTTGACGCTAAAGAAACTCAAATAATAAATAATAAAATTTAAAAAAATTCAACCATGTTATCAACTAGCCGCAATGTACACTTTCAGTCTTATATTACACGAAGATGGACCATCAAYGAGGTTTGAAAACAAACAAAACAACTTATGTTTACACAAAATAGTCATCAAAATAAGTAAATATGTCGTCATTATGAGTAAATAGTAACACCGAAAGGTGGAAAACGTTGTCTTCAGTGACCGGCAATAAATTTGACGGCATTTACAATCACGATTTTTTTAAATTTTATTTATTTAACTTTTTTTTTACAGTTTTAAAAAACTGTTATTCGACTGTATTCATTTAAATCACGATTACTTAACTGTTATTGCGCTGTACTGCAAAGAGGGTCATATATAACACGCTCAACCGCTATAGCCGTATATACTGTGGACTACTTCGAAGACCATCTCAGTGCCAGGGTAAAAACATTAAAAAAGCCGAAAATATGGACTCCTTGCATTGAATTCCTAATGGAATTGTTCTAGGGGACAAAACAATAGGGCATCTTTTCTTATCTAAAAAATCGATTGTTTGGTCCCCCAGAACCGAATTCCTCTCGGGACTCAGTGCAAGGGGTATATATAGAGTTTTTGTGTTTGTCTTTCTTTTATGGATAAAGGTAATCGATGTGCCGTCTTAATTCATTTTTTGTTGTATTCTCTTGTGGGCAGCTGTAAATATCAATCGACGTCATTAAGGTAACAAAGCTTTTTTGCTCCCTCCCCATACCCTGGACGTCCCCAGTTATGAATTTCTGACGTCCCATAATGTATTGCGATCCAAGATAGCCGCCGTATCGTCAAAGAGGTCCATTGCTCTACTGAACGCGCATAGCATAGGTTTATTCGATAAAGTGTGCACCTCCTGTTACCATTAATGATATCTATTAGAGGACTAACGTTGCGAAAAACCCTAGTCAACTAAAATGCACTGCGCCCCTATTATGGTTTACATCGTTCGCCTACATCGTTCTCCAAGCTCTTCTATACATTGGTGGAGCGACATTTCTGCAAAATCGCTATTCGCTATAACTCCCTTTTAGGACAGAGCAGAAAAACGACAAGGCTGCTACTTTCGCAATTTTTTCCCTTATCTCTCATTCATGCTAAAAACGTTTAGCGTTTCATTCGTGCCACGTGCCCTTTGTGCTTTGAACTTTTCACAAAATTCTGCTAAACTCGAGGAATTCTACTTCGAGGTATTAGCGAAAATGTTAGTTTTTGTGCTGATCAAAATATTATCTCTCCCAACGTTCAGGGCGTTATATCTCAAATACGCATTCCTTAAATTTCCCCAAATTTTGGTATTTTGTTAATGAGCCCCAAAAGAGCCTGTTTATGAAATATAAAGCTTATTAACGCATAAACGTCGAAAGTAGAACCCGTTTTTCTGCCCTGTCTTTTAGAGGATTATTGATATATCATTAAAGTTACTTATCTTCGATAGTCTTTCAATTTGCAGCTGCATAAGTTGCTTCATATCAGTAATCGAATAATGCTCTTGAATATTCGTTTACATATTTTCAAACGGAATGCATCCTTGTAACAAACAATGGCTCAAATAATCATCATATAATCGAATGAATAATGCATTCTTGGGGGTACGCTTTACTTGGTTTGACTATAATAACAGCTATTACACATATCTTTACTATCAAATCTCACGACATTCTAAAAATTGCATCGTTAATTCACTTAGGCAAGCATGAAGACGTTTATAATCTGTGTTGCTGGATTGTTGGTTCACGTCGCTAGTGCAGCCCTTCAATGCGAGATAATCCGAATAAAGACATGTGCACAACGATACAAAGTTGCTGTAAAGGACGGCAAAAACCACTGCGAAAGATTGCAGGTAAGAAAATTCTAGTTTCGTGTAAACTTAGGCTTCATTTTCCTGAATGAATTAGTACAATTTTCCTCATAAAAAGTTGTTGGATTAACTGTACCCCTTCTCTCCCCCAAACTTACCAAATAACATTTCGATATCCACCACTTTTAGCTTCAAACACTTAATC